GTCGAATGATTCTAGTATTGATTTTGAAGAGTTCCTACGTAGAAGATTTGATATGCGTGATAAACAAATTCATCGACAACTTCAACAAGACTTGATAGAACATATATGGCAACATTATGGACACGAGGATAACAACAATTGAATTTTTTTTAAATATATCTTTTTATGTATTTTGTGCTAATAATTTATTTTAATGTATTTTTTAATGAATTATTTGTGTGATGTATTGTATTTTTTTAATATATATTTGTTTTGTTTTGTTTTATTTTATTTTAAATGTATTATTTTTTAATGTATTTTGATATATTTGAATTAAATTGTTTCAATTATTATTTTTTATATAATATAAATGTTGGATATATTGTGAGATTTGATGGGATCCATTTAGAGTTTTTGATGAGTTATATGAATATTTAAAAAATGTAGTTGAGTTGTTTAGAAAATATAAAAGTGTAATATAATATAAAAAATTATGTGAGTCTCATTTAAAGAATCAAAATGTAGTTGATGAATGTGAATGCTTTTAGTAATTTGAAAATTCGTTATCTTTATTACCACCTCCACCGCATCATCTTCGTGAAGAGGACGAGCCATAATGAGATCTTAGTAGTGAGACAGTTTTGAAACAAATCAAGGTTTCATTTTCCTTCTCTACTGAAAAAAAATCTTAACAATTAAGGTAGTATTCACATCATATAATCTTAGTTCAAATTGAAGAAGAGATGTTACTTTGTTGAAATCTAATGGTCAAGTAAAAAATTGGCCCTTATTTTGGTCATTTTTTATAATACTCTTAATACTTTTAATGCACCATTTTAAAATTTATAAATATTCCCTATTTTTGAATATATATATATATATATATATATATATATATATATATATATATATATATATATATATATATATATATATATATATATATATATATATATATATGTATATATTTGGACGCACTCAAACGTATGTGAAAGTTGACATATTTCGAAAATATATTTTTAGAATAATTTTAAACATTTAAAACATGTCACTCATAAGTCATTTACATTTAAATTATTTTAGAGATGCGTCTCCGGTAATATTCCAGAGATACATCTCCGAAGTGTATCAAAACAAATATTTATTTATTTTAATTTGTGTATTTGTTTTTAGATGAAGTATAACGCACGATCCAAAATAAATAAATAGATGTACAAAATAATAAGAGACTAATATTGGATGAAGTATAACAATATATGTAGAAAATGTCGCACAGTCGAGATCCAAAATATAATAAAACTGTAAAAATAAAGTAGAGAATATAGTACTACAAAAAATAATAACAAACTACTATTGTGTGTGTCTGACAACATCTCATCTACCTCTTTTGTCTACTATGCCTCCTCGGCCATCAATCCCCCCGTCCTCCGACGATGTCTCTGATACAACAATATCCATTATGCCTCTGTCATGATGGCATCTAGGACTCGCCTAACACCTGACCCGTTAGAGAAGATATTCTCGTCAATATCTGCCCGCGCAATCTCCATTATGTGATGACACCTAAGCAAGACATCATCAGTATGATCTAACTGAGCCTGCTCCTCCTCTAATATCTCTTGATGAGCTGGTCTCGACAGATGTCTTGGAGCAGCATGCACCATGTACAGATGGGACACCGTGAAGAACCATCTGATGTACCCCTCAACGTAGCTCCAGTCGTTTGGGGCTATGGTAGCTCATGCCTTCTCTGGTACCAGATGAATTTTATAATCAGCAAACATCTCATTTATCTGTCTACGAGTCAAGGCAGGAGGACCAGGGACAGTAGGGTGTCTGGGAATGGTCTAGGTGTACCTGAACTACCGCATGACGCACTCGGGTGGATAAGGAGAAGTGATACGTGATCCGCAGGCAAACCATCTGGAGTATAGCATTATTTCGTCAAATGGTCGCGTTTGACAGTGATCCACGTAGTTGTTGAAGTGCATGTTCTCAACAACTAAACAGTCAAGATAGACTCTGAAAGGCTCGACCGCTTGGTTCCCTCTGAGTGGGATAAAAGCACAGGCACACGACATATCCTTAGTGTACTCAATCACACTCGCCCAGGCAGCAATGCACGAGAAGTGCTAGAGTATCCAAGCTTGGAAAAAAAAGTTTGGAACAAACGAATCATCCAGAATGGTTTTGCAAATAAGCAATGAAAATGACAAAAAAAAATATTCAAGGATCTAGAAATATTACCACCAGTAGTGCCACGCTGCCTGTGACATACTTCGTCTTTCACTGACATCCCTCTCTCAACTTCGATAAAAATAGGTCAGGAAAGCCACCCCCCAGTTGTACCCATGGCTCTGAGTGAGATCCAAGAAGTACCGGAGGTATGCAACGTTAGTATAAATGGCACTCGTGTCCTTAAAAATGCAAGTACCAACCAAAAAAAGAAAGTATGTCTTCAAAGCACGAGCCCTGTGTACCGCCACCTGTTCACCATCACCATGAGCCTGTTGTGCCCTAAGGATCTCATCATCATATATGTTCTTCAAGAACTCAAATCTAGCATAAACACCTCTGGTCATATCCACCTCCTTCACCGCCTTTCCTAGATCAGCCCCCAGATGCTCTACCATCATCTCGACTGCCTCGTCTTTGGTCATCCTGCCATGATCGATAAATCTTTCCCTGATCGAAAGATGTAACAAACACGAGACATCGTCGAGTGTGATATACATCTCATCGTGCAGAAGATGAAACGAAAAGGTATGAGAGAGTCATCTCTCCATGAATGCATTAAGCATCATGTGGTTGACCAAAGTGTAACTGGTCATGCATAGGTCCTTTAGGCCAAATAAGTTCAAAATCGACTTAAACCAATATGCCTCCTACTGAGGCAATGCAGCAATCTTCCTCCTATGGTTAAGAAACTTCTGGGGATCACGCTCCTGAAATTTGTCAGAAATAATCAATGAGAAATTATCAATGTTAGCAATTAAAATTAACGCATAAAAAAATAAAGAATCCAACTAATGCTACCTCTTCGTCCCAGATATGTCTGGCAGTGTGGTCCGGATACAGAGGAAGCAAGAACAAATCATATGGATCTCCTCCAAAACCATCTGACTCGGCAACTGCAGCAGCCTCACCCTCTGAAGGTTGCTTTGGATCAGCAGTGGGACATGGGTCTAGAACATCAGCATCATCCGTAGGAGGTGGCACTGGTGAATCCTAACGCTTATGGGAGGATGCGGGAAGTGACGCGTCAAATGGTAAGTATCGTATATTATAGGAAGAAGAAGAATGTGGAGTGTCCTGAGGTGAAGCACGAGCCCCAAGAGTAGACGGCACCCCAAAAGTTGATGTCTCTGCCTAACCAGAGGTACCTGGAGCCTCTAGAACCTGTTGGCTCCGCTCCCACCAAACGGATGTGTGTTGAGCAACCCTGCCATGTCTCAGTTTGTCAACTCTGTCAGCCATTATGCATGTAAGGTAAAGTAAGGCATATCATTAGTTCACACAAACAACACACACAAGCAAGAAAATTTATAAATAAATAAAAACTACAGGAAATTTCAGAGATACGTCTTTGGAAACACCATAAAATTATAACGTTGAACATTTCCGGAGATGCATCTCCGGAAACACCATTAAACTAAAACGTTGAACAATTCCGAAGATGCATCTTTGAAATTTCCTACAGCATATGAAACGTTGAACAATTTCAGAGATGCATCTCCGGAATGTTCTACAACACGTAGGTTGCTTTAATAGCGAATGTACCTCATGCAAGTTGAAAAAAACATGATATGATCGTCATTTTCAGCTAACAAACAAGTTACACACTATGTCTAAACTATGTTACATGTGATTCCTACACATTTCTAAGCCTAATAATTGATTCCTACTTGTTTACACTAAAACTTGAACATTAACCGAAAACTCAAAAAACTTACTTGAAATTGATGATTCATATGTTGTTTTAATATTAAAGATAATCTTTGATGTTCCTTTGAGTTCCTTTGACCCTTGTTTGATGAAATTTGATTTGGTGTAGGATTGTATTGAGAAGATTGTTGAAGTTGTGTTTAAAAAAACTGTGAAATAAGGAAGGAGAAGAGTTTGTCGCGACTTATACTTTAAAATGTTCCAGGGATATATCTCCGGAATATTTCAACTTTTACTTATATTTGGGTGCGTTCGGAGATATATCTCCGAAAACATAAAACATTTATGAAATTTTACATGGTACGTTAGAAGTATTAAGGGTGCTATAAAAATTTCTCCTTATTTTTAGGGGTGTACACAGGTTAGGTCAACCTACAAAATTCAATCAAACTCATCTAAAAAATTTCAAAAAGAATTAGTTCAGCCGAGTAATTAGATGAATATTGGTTTAAAAACTAAAAAATTGGATTTCTAGTAAAACCGGACTCAAACCCAAAAAAATCCATTAATTAAATATTTATTATTATAATTTTTATGATTTTAATAAATATTAACTTGCAATTTTATTTTCTTGAATATTTACTACGTTACTATAACTAATTTTAATATGTAGTTATTAAGATACTAAAACGATTTTATGTTTAGTTGTTGCCAATATTTTATAATGTTAATGTTTACGTAAATGAGAATGATGGTTCATAATAAACGAGGTAGTGTCTTATCCCAATTATTACAAGAAACTCGCAGGATGAACTTTAGACGTATTATTCGATGTTTGCTATCATAATCTAGTTCAACTGCTATTGTTTTGTATCATTACTCGATTAGCTGAATCATGTCTACAATGACTGAAACGCTCACTGTTTCCTGCATAATATATCTATGGCAGAAAATCATTAACATTCTATTTCCAAGGCAGTGAAATTCTACAACAAACTATTTCCAATGCAGTGAAATTCATTGGATAATAAAGTGCAATGCAGTGAAATTCATTGGATAATAAAGTGCATAATGGAAAGAATGTGAAATTGCTAACATTCTTCTGCCAAACAGATCAAACGGCTTTTATATCATATTCACTTGGCGAATCGGAGGGTCCACTCTGCAGCAATATCATCATGTTTCGCTCTGTCTCCCAAATATAAGTGAGCAATGCCAGGAACAACAGCATTATCTGCATCATCGACAACCACTTTACATTCCAAAAACATAAATGGCTACTTGGAGATGGAGTATTGATTGATTGTAAGTGTTGGAATTACTAATATTACATGTTAGAAACCAGAAAATAAATCAATTAAATCTAGTGTCAAAAGACATAATCATATTAGTTGGTGTCTTGTTAAACCATGCTGCTACTTTAAAACAGGGAGTTCCTTTTTTCTTGCATTAGGAAGCAAAAGACTGAAGTATAAAACTACAATTTAAACCATCACCAATTGACATTTTTAAACAAAAGATAAGACAAATGGGAGCAGTTATTGAAACAGTCATACTATGCAGACAAATATTATGGAAGAAAAGACTAGACAGACTTACAAGGGTCGGGATTTGTCAAAATCGATCTAACTGCAAGTAGCACCTTAGTAATTGTTAGTGCTGGACTCCAACCATCCTTCAATATTCCTATACTAACACGGCCATTAGGTTCTACATTGCAATGGTAAATGCGAGTTTTGAAGACTACCTGCAAGCTCAATTTAACAAGCCAACACAACAATTAAATTACTTTAACCTCCTCCATAAATTGGCCTTTTATTTTTAAAACCTATACCAAACGCTTTGAACGAGAAAGATTATGAAAATCAGAGCCAAGACATTTTGAAGGGTAACAGTAAATCGTGCGAAAAAATGCTCCATGAATATCATGTGAATACACTGCAACTGTTTAATGGTTTTTAAATTTTGTATGACTTTTACTTTTATTTTGATAAATATAAACCCAACGACTCATTTTCCTCCGTACATCTTAAGTTTCCTTTTCCTCCATACACAATAGCACCTCTCCATTTTTAATATGTTGCAGTTTGAAAATAGAGGGACTGTAGTTGAAGAATTAGAAAATAACAGGAATATAAGAATTTACTGAAAGAAGAAAAAACAAGCATTTTATACAAGTAGAAGCCACCAATCTAATAACCTAGACTTAAAACAACTGAAAGTTCGCATTGACCCAGCCAGCACCTCCAAATGATGTGATCTTGAACAAAGCAGCCAGCCAGTGAACTATCCCATTACAAAATCAGAAGCTAAAACATATACGCATTCAAGCCAATGAATAACCTTTTCCATTTTAATATTTGTTAAATAGTAAATACAACAAAAATGATATATTGCTTCAAAAGAGGGAGGGTAGACTCAAATAAGAGGATATATAATTCAGTAGTCCAAACTTCAAATTGTTAAATACAATAACAGACCATCCTTTCTTGGACTCAAAAACAGACCATCTAGTGATTGTATATCTTGTAATCTCAGCTACCATTATATTGTCAATAGTGGGGCGATCATGTGCAATAGTGAATCACGGCAATGCTGCTGCGACACTAATAGTTGGTGTGCCACATTTTACAAGAGTGGCTATCGCAGGCAGAAATCAGTGATTGCAACCTGACGTAGCATAACAGTGGGTCGTCATGCAAAATTCCCTTTTTACGCCACTTCCCCTCAGGCTTTGTTTGGGAGTTGGAGGGGAAGGGAGGAGAGGACTTTGAAAAAAAGGAATGATAGAGTAGAAAGAATTGAAGGAATTGAAGCTTTGTTTGAGAGTTTGGAGGGGAGGAGAAGGGAGGATTTTGAAAAACGATTTTTTTTAAATATAGAGAAATCTTAACATTTTTTTGAAAAAAAGATTTTGTATAGAACAATAAAATAATGCTTATCATTAATATATTTTTAATTTTTGAAATACTATAACAATAAAAATTATATTTGAAAAATTTGTCTAAGCCATTCAAAATCCTCCTCCAATACAAATTTGAGTTCCCCAAATTAAGGGGTTTTTGATGGTATGAGTTTAAACAAACCCTCCCAACCAAAATCCTTCTATTCTTTTCACTCAATCCTTCCCTTTTTTCAAAGTCTTCCCCTCCAAACTCCTAAACAAAGCTGAAAGGGGGAAGACTTTGGATGGCTTATTTTTCTTCATAACATAAAATCTCCCTAATTTTGGAGAGCTAAAATTTATTGGATGAGGGTTTTGGGGAATTTGGGAGGGCTTAAATAAATTCTTCAAATTCAATTTATATTGTTATAATAATCTAAATAACTAAAATATTTAATAATAAGTTTATTTATCTACTTTTCTCTCTGTTCATCTCCTCATAAAGACCTTTCCCAATTTGGAGGGAAGGGGAAGGGTGGGCTTCGAAAAATGTTTTTTTTTAAAACTATAGAAATATCTTTAATATTTTTTGAAAAAAAAAATTGTTTAAAATGATAAAATAGTACTTATCATTAATATATTTTTAATTTTTGAAATATTATAACAAGAAAAATTATATTTAAACAATTTGTCTAAGCCCTCCAAAACCCTCCTCCAATATAAATTTTGAGTTCCCCAAATTAGGGAGTTTTTGATGTTATGAATAAAAACAAACCCTCTAAAACCCTTCAACCAAAATCCTTATATTCTTTTCACTCAATCCTTCCTATTTTTCAAAGCTCTCCCCTCCCTTACACTCCAAACTTCCAAACAAAACCTTAGAGTACCGTATATCAGTAGCTTCCACCCTCTGCATTATGTGAAACTCACTTTCTCCTACCCCGGTTTTGTAAAAAGTGGAGGACCCACTGGCTCCCCTACCCCCTCTTCGTTTTCCGGCAATGACGGCTAAGATATCTAGTGACAACTACCAGGTTTCCCTCTGCTACTGATCTGGTTCTACTGTGACTCAACCCAACCATGACATCATCTCAACCATAAACTTGCCAGGGTGATGCTTCCTCAGCTATTTTAATATTTTCTAGTCATAGAGATTATCCCTCTATCTACTATCCCACTTCAGTGTATTGAGGTTGGCCACTCCCCGCGGCTATCCAGTTAGAAACTGGTTTAGATATGAAAAATACCAGTGTTAGAAACTGGTTCTGGTATGAATAAACACTGAAGAAATGCTACTATTTATTGAATAAACACAATATCCGCTTGGGGAAGAACTTGCACAGGAGTTACATGCAAGACAGCACTCTAACTGTCACAACTAAACAACCTCCAGGAATTACAGAGTCTATTGTCGCCCAACCCAACCAACATACAGAATACCCAATCCCTTCCCTTTTTCATTCAGCCTATATTTATAACTCTAAACTTTCTTCAGCAGTTTCTGACTTCCTGCAGAAGTTAGATAGCAGTTACTAAGACAACACTTAGTAAAAAAAAAAATCTGCCTACTAGTAATACATAATTTTTGTTGCAGCACTAACTTGATTTATGTGCTTCTTTCTAACATAAGGCATGCCTAATTTCTGTCACAGCACTAATTTGATTCATATGCTTATTTCTAACAAAAGTCCAAGTGATATGAGTCCTATTACTAACATATCCAAGATTGACAACATAAATTCTTTTATGAAAAAGGGAAGGATGAAGCAACCAAATTTATGCATTTCCCATTAATTATGCTTGGTATCCCTATTCTTAACTAAAGAGGTGATGCATAGCTGAAGAATGGTCCACATAACCAATTTGCCTTCCCTAAGGAAACACTATCCGAGTCTTGACACAAGCCTGTAATGAAAACCTATCCCAGAAGACCTATGAGATGAGAGATAGAAGAGGTGATTTGGATGAAGAATGGCCAGCATCAGCAAGTTGGCTTCCTTGAGGGGACTTAAGCCCAATCTTGATTTTAAGAGATATAACTCAAGCCCGTGAGAAAAACCATCACAAAAGACAAACCTATGAGGTGAAAGAGCACTCTGGCTAACCACTCGGAATCACACTCGTTCTTGACCTTCCAGTTTCCCAGTTGTTCCTTTTCAGGTTACGCTCTTACGCGACTCAATCCCCAGAGGAGTAGCCTATTAGGTGGGAGAGTCTTATGGCTTAAATATCTGTTTAGTTTCTATCTTTACTCAACATGCACAATGGTTAGACAAAGACAAGTCCGTCGCCTTACAGCACTGAGAGATAGCAAAACTAGTTCACACTGATGTAACTTTTGCAAATATATACTACTCAAAAAAGTGTAAACTTATATGAGAAATCATACACGGAGAGAAAAAAGTGTAATATGGAGGATGTAAGGTGACAAGTAAACAATACCTGGGGAGGCATAAAAGGATAATCAGTTGGAAATATTATATCAAGGAAGAATATGCCACCTTGGTAAGGTGTTCCTACAAAGAAAAACAGATAAATTTTTGAATAAATTGAATAACGAATATAAGCTAGGGTTTAGGTAAAGGGTTGAGATGATGGACCTGAGGTACCAATAATGGTGGCGATCCAATGATAGAGGTTATCACCCTTGGGACCAGCAGAGCAATGAGGAGGAGGGTCGTTGTTGAGTTCAACCATTTCCCTTTGAATTCTCTTTCCCGAAGCTGAGACTGAGGTCGTGGGTGCCCATGATGACGATGAACTTCTTCCTCCTCCACCGGAAATCATCGTCCCATAAACCCTATTCCCCCAAATCAATTCAATTCACTTCATATTTTCTTCATTCAACTTCATCTCTAGTAGTTTTTTTTTTTTAATGTTTAATATCCTTTTTATCTTTTAGTCAATTCATATTGGTCTCTTACTTAAAAAACATCTATTTTAGTATTTCAATTCTTCAAACAGAATCAACGTTTGTGTTAAAGGTATTAGTCAAAAGTCAACTTAAAAATGGAATAATATTTATTGAATCACATGTTTTCTCTTATATTTATAAGAAAATAATATTTTAAATTCATTAAATAATCATTGTATTTGATAAATATAATTTTCTTTGAATAATTAAGTTTTTCAAAAAAATTATTATTCAAATAGTTAAAAATTTTCATTAATTTTCAAAATACTTATGTTTCAAAAAAATGATAACAATTTTAAACCCTTGTCAATCCAATTGGCATTTGCATTTAAAGAAATAGAGTTAAGATCGATTGTGATTCCATATGGAGACATCAATGGAATTATTGTTCAATTTAAAGTTAATAGTTAATTTTAAATATAGATACGTATTTAAATATATTTTGTATCCTATCAAATAAATTCACGAATGCGGCCGCACATGTATCTAGCTGGTTTGTGTAAAAAGTGTAAGTCAAAACTCAATTTAAAATATCATTTGTCATTGAAATGGAATAATATTTGCTAAATCACATTTTTTTTATATTTATAAGAGAAAAATTGATTTTTTAAATTAATTAAATAATTAATGTATTTGGTCAAATATAATTTCTTTTTTTAAATAATTAAGTTTTTAAAAAAAAAATTCAAATAATCAAATTTTCTCACTAATTCTCAAAATACTTATGTTTCAAATATAAAAAAAATAACAACTTAGAGTACATGTCAATGCAATTGACGTCTACATTTTTAAAAAATAGAGCTAACGTCAATTGTGACTGCATACGAAAACGTCAATTGAATTGGTGACACTGCATAACTAGTAGATTGAAGCACCAATTGAATTGGCAACTGTGTATAAGTTAAATTGGCGCTTACACTTACTTCTTGTACACAATCGTCAATTTAATTTTCGCCTGCATCTATTTGTCATGCAGTGTCACCAATTTAATTTGTGCATTCATATGCAATTGGCAATTCAATTGGCGTTGCCTCTATATTTTAAATACATATGCCAATGGGATTGACATGTACTCTGAGTTGCCAATTTTTTTTTTAAACATAGATACTTTGGAAATTAGTGAAAAAACTTGTTTATTTAGGACATTTTTTTCTCCACTTTCACTTCACACTCTTCGTTTCTCTACTCTCCAAAAATTGATTCAATCTCTTTTTTGTTGGACTTTGAGCAACTTCAATTCAATTCCCTCAACTTTTTTTGTTTCTCTTTGCCCTCTGAGAAAGAAAAGAGAAAACAAAACAAATGTTTTCTTGTGTTTGCTTCATGTTTCTGTTTCATCCTATTAAATTATATGATTAAATAGTCATGTGGTACATGTAAGTTAGCGAGTTTTTGAATTTAGTCCTTGTATATTTTTTTGTCTGAATCCTTATATCTCACTTTTGTCTTGGCGTTAGTCACTAGGTTAGATTTCTGTTTAAAAAAATGATTGGATAAACGGTGCGGACGTGGAATTGTTTTACATTTTTATGTGATGAATACATGGAAAACCAAATGACCTTGAAAAGGAGGACTAAATCCAAAAAAACACCATTTTGCATCACTTCTTCTTCGTTGCTTCCTCTCTCCTTCCTCTCTTCCAAACTTCAAAACCTAACACAGATTCAAGCATGGCAACATCATCTGTCGATAACTTCTCTAAGTCTTAAATCCCATTTTGTGGTTGCAATAAAGCTATGAGAATGTTTATTTCAAACTCAACTGAAAACCTTAAAAGAAGATTCTGGAAATATTCTAATTCGGGATTAGGTTGCAAGTTATTCATCTAGAATTATGAACTTGAATACAACACATCAACTTAACACAAAAGCTCAATCGGATGCAATTGTTCAGAGCTAGTTTAGGAGTTAGGTTGCAGCATTAAAGATCTTGAAGTTAGGAAAAAAGAGAAGATGAAATTGAAGTTGGAAAATAAAAGGAAGAAGGCCAAAATGTTTAAGTTTCTTTTGAGTCTTTCATAGTGTCTCTTCTTTGTCTACCTGAAATGGTAGTGATTTTCATGTTCATGGAATTTGTAAAAAAAAATTGTTTTAGTCCCAAGTAAAAGGATAATTGTCGAATCGCATCCTTGTAATGCTACATTATGAAATGAATCAGAACCAATGATTTTTTTAATTTTCGTCCTTATATGTTTGTAACTTCTTGTTTTGCATCCCTCTTTCTTTATGATTTGTTTGTATTACATCATTGGTTATTAATGATATGTTTGTATGTCATCCTTGTTTTGCATGTGTTTAGTCAATATTGTAGAGCATAAAGGCATATAAAGTGATCTCCAAATATAGGAAAGACACACCATACATAGACCATAAAGATGTCTCAAAATCACATAAAGCCAAAAGGCATATAATTTTGTCTCAAAGTACAGTAAATACACACCATAACATAAACCATAATGATGTTATATGTCTCAAAATGACATAAAGCCAAAGAGCATGGACTTTTCCCTAACAATACAATAAAGAGACAACAAACATAGCCAAAAGGTATCAAAATACACCATAACAAGATGCTTAAGGACCTTTGCCCACATCCATAGGTTGTGATGGATTACTTCCTTCTTCTTTCAGGTTTTCGCATCTAAGGACCATTGTCTTGTCACTTCTCCTCAACTCCAATTTTCTTGAAACATGTGGTTTGTTTGTCTTCTTCTTCTTCTTCTGTGAAATATAGAGTATTAGAGGTGCAATACATCAACAAAATAATTCCAAATCATTAGGAAATGGTAGAATAAACTCAACTATTTTAAGAACTCTTGGAGTAGTAAAAATAGGTGTAGCGGGTACGTTATCAACTGATGGAACAGGTGTACTCAAAATATAATTAGGTATATCATCAGTTTGTGAAGTTGCAACAGGTGCACTATGAGTTGATGGAACAAGTGCAATATAATTTGGTTGACTTTGTGCAGATACAACAGGTCCATTAATAGTAAGATTTGGTTAAGTTTGAGTTGCCTTAAATTTTGCTGCAAGATTTGCAGCAAGCATTTCAAACTCGGGGTCAACTTCAATATGAGTTTGTTCTTGTCCTAATGCAATTTGAGTTTGAGTTTGTTCTTATCCTAATCTCAGAGACGATATCACAAATCTTAACACCTTCTGAAGATGCCATCCTAGTCGCCACAATTTTAGCAACCCACTTGGAAGTGGAAGAACTATTATTCAATACCCTACCATATGTATGTGTTTGAATCCATTTCTCCATTCTATATGTGTGCTTATTCCCAACTTTACTTACAAGTGCTAAAAACCCATATTTTCCATTGCAAATTACCCTTACTCTAACTTTATCATTTTTCACAGAATTTATTTGTCTTCTATTTAATACTGACCATTAAGTTATTGCTTCCTTAAATTCTTCAAGTGATACAAACTCCAATTCCACTTTGAACTTATAATTATGTCCAACTCCTGCATCTTAAACCTTGGATATTTTGGTTCTTTTCTCCATCAGAAGCATCAGAGTCACTACTATCAAGCTCATCACTAGTATAGTTGATGTCCATCTCATTATCCACATCACTAGACAACCCTGCATTATCAACACCAATTGGTACTTTCTTTGGAGTATGCTTGTACTTCTTTACTGCAACTTTTATCATACCTGTTTTGCCATTTTCTTCGTCTTGATTTTCAATAACATCAAAATAATTATCCAACCTAAGAGCCCTTTCATCCTCACTATCATCAAATGATAAACCATCAGCTTCAAAGCCATTATTCTCATTGTCCCCGGTGTCCTCACTATCCTCATTTACTTTAACTTATTCACCGCCACCAACATTATTACTTATGTCTTCAACTTGTTCAACACCACCTACAAGAGCTTCTTCAACTTGTTCAACACCACCAACATTACCTCCTTCAACTTGTTTAACACCACCAACATTACCTTCTTCAACTTGTTCCATACCACCTACATTATCTACTTCAACATTCTCAACACCACCAACATCATTACCTATTTCATCTTGTTCAACACCATTAACGTCATCTTCTTAAAAATCACCTACATCAGCTTATTGTGCATTGCATTTACCTTTATGCTTAACATATATGTGCATGCACATTTCATTTCCATGGCATATTGATATACCTTATAAGCATTTGTATCACTAACCATTATATTATACCTATTAGCACCATTATTATACCACCATAACCAATACTTGAAATGCTTAAGCTCAGTTAACTCTTTCACGATACCTGTTGCTTCAAATAAGCTCCACATATCCTTATCTATTTCTACTGCATGCTCATTTCTCCTTGTGTAATATACTAAACAGTCCCTATCAAAGTGACTAAATGCAAAAGCAAAATTCTGAATACTATTGCATTTTAAATGGAAAATAAATGAATATCCACATTATGTTATTAAATAAAAAACATACATAAGCAAAATCTACGGGGCATCGTTTGTTTAGTAAGCTTTTTTTAACAGAATCTAATGCCAGAGACTAACGCCAACATGAAAGTAAGATATAAGGACTCATACAAAAAAAATGATACATGGACTAAATTCGAAAACTCGCTAACTTACAGTGACCAAATGGCTATTTAAGCCTAAATTATATTCCAATAAATGTTTTTTTTTTGTTTGTTAATAGAGTTTGGTTTAGTTAGTTATTTGACCCTTAAGTTATCTAGCTATTTATTATATATACCTTATATTCATTTATTGTTTGGTTAAGCCAAATGTTATAATGAATCACCATTATTAATCTTGTATTATGGTATCAGTAGAATGAGCAAATCATAGGTCATTTTTCTCCCTCTTCATCACCTTCATCAGTTCTTCATTTGAGTTTCAA